CCACTTAGCCTATGGGGGTGTGTCAAACATTGTATGTGTTATATTTGTGTAGGCTATTGTGGGTTAGCCTCTAGGGGGTACAGAACTTTAGGTTTGTCATACTTGTACTCTCATTCTCTTGCTAGAGCGCGGGCTGCAGGGCGTGCGGGCAGCAGGGCAGGGCAGTGCAGCGCGCGGGCTGCAGGGCAGGGCAGCGCGCGAGCTGCAGGGCAGGGCGGTGCGCGGGCTGCAGGGCAGGGCAGCACGCGGGCTGCAGGCCAGGGCGACGCGCGGGCTGCAAGGCAGGGCGACGCGCGGGCTGCAGGGCATGGCGACGCGCGGGCTGCAGGGCAGGGCGACGCGTGGGTAGCAGGGCAGGGCGACGCGCGGGCTGCAGGGCAGGGCGACGCGCGGGCAGCAGGGCAGGGCGACGCGCGGGCTGCAGGGCAGGGCGACGCGCGGGCTGCAGGGCAGGACGGCGCGCGGGCTGCAGGGGACGGCGACGCGCGGGCTGCAGGGGAGGGCAGCGCGCGGGCTGCAGGGCAGGGCGGCGCGCGGGCTGCAGGGCAGGGCAGCAAGCGGGCAGAGCGCAGGGCAGGGCAGCGCGCAGCAAGCAGGGCAGCGCGCGGCGAGCAGGGCAACGCGCGGCGAGCAGGGCAGCGCGCGGCGAGCAGGGCAGCGCGCTTCGAGCAGGGCAGCGCGCGGCGAGCAGGGCAGCGCACGACGGCAGCAGCTCCTGGGGCAGTACGTACAGTTGGTGGGCCCTAACGGAGCGGTCCTACGGAGGGACCTGCTCTGAAACCATGTCGAGAGAACTGTGCAGGAAATGAATGAACTATGCAAGAGTGAGATACAAGTAGTAAACCCTAACTAGGGTTGTACTCTATACTGAGCACCTCACTGTAGCCTAGCAGAACTAAGAACATATGAATATGTTTTGACACGAATCGCTATCAGATTCATCTTCCCCTTGCTTGCGCAGCTGGTAGCTCCCCCCTTCAGGAACCCCGTGCAGTGCTGGACCGACTGCACATGCGACACTGCCTAAATGAATCTGGAGCCAAGAGCCTTCCTACATGCTTCCTGGACGCAGATTCAGTCCTCCCGGCTCCGTCCAATTGATATCAGCACAACCGCCGGGTCTCGCAGAATGATCTTCACACCTGCGTTGATCGCATGGGAGGCCGCTGCTCAGGCAAGGCGCGATGCAGCCGCCAGCGTACCAGACCGGGTCCTCCTCGACAGCCTTTTCTTAAGAGCATATATTGTAATTAGAAATACACGTCGTAATACGGAGATCATATCATAGCTTCCAGCGAGCAAATTTCACAGTTTCCAGCGAGAAAATTTCGCTGGCCATATTGTTCAAGGTTAGGAAGGTTGGTTGGGGTGAGAGATTGGCCAAGATTTTGAGTGCTAGGGTCACAATAGAAGTTAAGAAGGTTGAAAGGATTTTGCTAATCTGCTTGTAAAACAAATTCGATTTTCTTTCTGGAATGCTCGCCTCTTTCGCTATGTTAGTTGACCGACTCATAATGAGAATGCTGGAGGTAGCCGTTGCTGGAAACTCGGGCGGACTCAAATTTGGTCAACATTAGGTTTGGCGGGAACGGCAAATTCGAGGCGATTCGAGCTTCTCTGAAGCTGTTGGGCTACACTGGAGGAGATCTCTCTCCCCCCCACCCCCTTGGGCTTCTCTTCTCTCCCCTCGGTACCAACATCGAGTCCTTCCCTCCCTCGCATCGTTCCCCCGCAGTTGCTCATCCCACGCCCCCCTTCAATCGCTCCTTCCATCGCCACTCCCGTTGTTCCTCTCTCCTCTCTTTCCATCCCTCCCAACATTCGCGCCCAAAACGTAGAATCTGCTCTTGCTCTCTCCCACCACCAAGGAGTCCTTCCTCGCTTCTGCAACGGACTCTTCTTCGCCTTATCTAATCTCTCTTCGCTCAGAGGTCGTATTTTCTCGAACTCAATGCCATAATGTCTCTCCTAACCACCACGCTCGTCTAAGCTGCTGCATTGGCCTCACGCTATATCAGCATAGAAAAAGAGTCACCATCACAACTTACACGACGAAGCTTCCATCGCGCTTAGGTCCCTAGTATAATTCTTCCGAAATGTCGGCGCTCTTCCAAGGAGCTGACGATGTCGACGAGTCTATTGTCAAGACAACATTAGATGCTGATAGGTAGGCCGGCATACATTATAGCGTATCAGGAACTTCTACTGACGTGGCAGTACCATCGCAATCTACCAGTAGGCCTACCTAGTAAGTGTAGTCTTTAATTTCAAAGCTTCTGCGGGTCTGTCCTATAGTAGGGGTCCGCCATTGCCCTTCCACTGGTGCTAATAGAGTGCAATGGCGATCACCGCGATTCCGGCATCACCCGAACGGTTCGGCTGGTCCGGTCCGAAGTCTTCATGCTCATCTCCCACAGAAGCGGGCAGTAGCCGGCCGCTCCCAGGAGGGAATCTACCGTCTAAACTGCCGGAACGGCACCCATCGCCAATGCGCTTACCGTCTCCCAGACGGTTTCCGTCACCTAGACGGCAGCCGGCATCTCCGACACCGCTTGACAGAGGAGCAAACCGGTCGTTAAAGTTTCAGCCGGTGGTTACAACGTCTCTCGTTAACGACAGTCCGGATAAGGAGTCGAGGGAAGGTTCGAAGAAGGATGGAGGAAGGGACACTCCAGGAAAAAGGGAAGGCCGCGTTACCAGAGCACCAACAGTAGCGGCCTATACAGCACCGGCTCCTGTAGCAGCTCCCGCTATAGTCATCCCTTCTCATACTGCGAAACCGTCCACTGGTATCCCCTCTCCTGCACTGAAACCGTCTGCTGCTGCCTCGTCTCCTGCACTGAAACCGTCTACTGCTATCCCATCCCCTGCACTGAAGCCGTCTACGTCTAGCCCGTCTCCTGCACGGAAACCGTCTGCTTCTATCCCGTCTCCTTCACTGAAACCGTCTACTTCTATTCCGTCCCCTGCACTGAAACCGTCTACTGCTTTCCCGTCGACTGTGCTAAAACCCGCCACGCCGCCATCCTCCCCACCAAATAGCTTCAAGTCTTTAGGTCCACCGGTGTCAACTTCTATGGCGGATGCTGCAAATTCGGGAACCGATTCGGGCGGTCAAGCCTTTCGAGCAGTGGCTGCCTCGTTTGTTCCAGCATTCAGCGCGAAGCTTGCAGATGGAGCGACCGCAACGGCGTCGCGAGCACCGAAGAAGACGAACCCGACGCCCGCGTTTACTCCACCAGACAGGAAACGGAGTTCCACACCCACGTTCTCGCGTCCGGAGCGGAAAGCGAGTCCCACGCCCGTCACGAGTGCAATCCCAGAGCGGATTCGGAAGCAAAGCCCGGTCCCATCCGTGACGGCACGACTTGACCGGAACGAACCTCCTTCTCTGGAGCTGCAGCGGGAGGAGAGGACGGAGCGGCCGACGATGAGCTGGCAGGGCCGCGGTCAAGGCGTGAGAGTCGTGGCAGCTTCGGAGAAGAGCGCAGGATCACGAGGCAGGGCTCGTGGGGCTAGCGGAGAGGGTGAGAACAGCGGTGGTGGTAGTAACGGGAGCTGCGGAAGCGGTGACAGTATCGGTTGTAATGGGGTCGGACAGCGTGACAATAGCGGTGGTAGTGGAACCAGCGGAAGCAGTGGAAAGACGAGCGTGGTGGGAGTCGAGACGAAGAATCGCAATACTACGTGGGCTGAAGCGGCCGAGGGGAAAGACACTGTGATTGCGGTGAAAGCTTTGAGTGGTGGGGACAGGCGGAAGGAGGAAGCGGCGAGGCAAGGCGGGACAGCATTTGCGGAAGAATCAGGGAGCGAATCCGGACAGCGACGCATGTCTCTTATAAGGACTTCTTCTGTTGGTACTGGCGGGTGGGTTGACCGGGTGGCAATAACGAAGGGGCCTAACCAGAGGACTGGATTTGGTGAGGCAGGAAGGGCAGCAGAAGGAGAAGGACTGGCGGGGAAGTCAGCTGTCGCGGAGAGGCAGGGAGCGTCAGTAACGGCCGGAGAGGTTGGGCCGATAGGCCTCACAGACTTTGCACCCCCTGCACCAGGAGCACCAACACCACTAGCAGCAGCAAGCCTAGTGACACCAGCATCAGCTGCAGCGGGAGCCCCACCGCCTCCACCAACAGCAGCAGCAGCCGTTGCAGCAGGGGTAACAGCAGCTGCTGCAAGCCCAGCATCGGTGATTGGGTTCAAAGAGGCTGGAGCATTGCTTGCAATCAGGCCAGTGGCGGTCGCTGCTGCTGCAGCAGCAGCGAAAAGGGACGACGAAACAGCTGCTACAACCGTAGTGCTGACAGGGGAAGCGGCAAGACTGGTGGCTGCAGCAGCTGCGATAGCCGAAGCAGAAGCAGCGCCATCAGCAAAAGCAGCAGTGGTTCCAGCAGTAGACTCAACGGCAGCAGCAACGAGTGCAAGTGGGGGGGCAGCAGCAGAGGTGGAGGCAGAAAGAAGCGGAGAAGTAGCAGCAACAGCAGCAGTGGCAGTAGCAGCAGGGGCGCAGGCAGCGGTGGGGTCGGCAGTGACGGTGGCAGTGAACGTGCGCCCCATGGTGCCCCATGAAATGGCTGCTAGATGCGTCGAGTGCATCAAGGTCCCGCCTGGAGGCAAGCCAGAGGTGAGGGATTGATGCAGTGACTGTGGCAGTGAACGTGCGTCCCATGGTGCCCCATGAAATGGCTGCTAGATGCGTCGAGTGCATCAAGGTCCCGCCTGGAGGCAAGCCAGAGGTGAGGGATTGATGCAGTGACTGTGGCAGTGAACGTGCGTCCCATGGTGCCCCATGAAATGGCTGCTAGATGCGTCGAGTGCATCAAGGTCCCGCCTGGAGGCAAGCCAGAGGTGAGGGATTGATGCAGTGACTGTGGCAATGAACGTGCGCCCCATGGTGCCCCATGAAATGGCTGCTAGATGCGTCGAGTGCATCAAGGTCCCGCCTGGAGGCAAGCCAGAGGTGAGGGATTGATGCAGTGACTGTGGCAGTGAACGTGCGGCCCATGGTGCCCCATGAAATGGCTGCTAGATGCGTGGAGTGCATCAAGGTCCCGCCAGGAGGAAAGCCAGAGGTGAGAGTCTACATTTCGCCTTGTCCTCCCACTTGTTCTCCCTGCTCTTACTCCCCCATTTGCCCCGCATGCATTCCCGCCCCCTCATGCCTCCCACCCCAATTCTTGTCTCCCGCCCACACTCTTGCCTCCCGCCCACTCTTGTCTCCCCGGCACCCCTTGCTTCCCCACTTCCTAAGCCATCCCATTCTCCTCTCCGCTTTTCCCTCTAATGCTGCACATGCCGCCAGGCCAGGGTGCTATGGAGGGGCAATGTCATCGTCCCTCCTCATTCTTCCGCCCCTCTCTACCCCCTCTCGTCACTCTTCTCTCTACTCGTTTCCTGTCACTTTCCCCCCCCTCCTCCCCCGCTCATCCATCCTCTCCACCCTACTCTACCAATAATCTCTACTCCCTCTCCTCTCTTCTCCTCCGCTCTCCCCTCCTCCCCTTCTCCAGGTGCACGTGTCACCAGACTGGGTGTTCACATACGACTATGTGTACGGAGGGATGGGTCCACCCATGCCTCAGTCCACTCCTCTTTCCTCTCCTTCCTCCTTCGTCTTCAATCCACAATCCCACTCTCTTCCCTCTCTTCCCCCACCAGGTGCACGTGTCGCCAGACTGGGTGTTCACATACGACTATGTGTACGGAGGGAGTCCACCCATGCCTGAGTCAATTACCCTCTCTTCTGTTTCCTCCCCATCCCCACTCTCTCCCAATCTTCCCGCTCCAGGTGCACGTCTCACCAGACTGGGTGTTCACATACGACTATGTGTACGGAGGGACGGGCCCACCCATTCCTGAGTCTTACCCTCTCCTCTGTTTCCTCCCCATCCCCACTCTCTCCCCATCTCCCCCACCAGGTGCACGTCTCACCAGACTGGGTGTTCACATACGACTATGTGTACGGAGGGACGGGCCCACCCATGTCGCAGCTCTTTGCCGACTGCATCATGCCCCTCGTGCACGGGCTCTTTGACGGTTACAACGCTACGGTCTTCGCATATGGGCAGGTGAGGAAGTGCGATTGCAATGGTTTCCGCGCACAGGCAAGAAAGAGAGCGTAGTTGTTGTCGATGGTTACAACAACACTACAGAGATTGCATTGGGGCCCACCCATGTAGCATCTCTTTGCAGACGGCATCATGCCCCTCGTGCACGGGCTCTTTGACGGCTACACGCTACTGCCTTTGCATACAGGCAGGTGAGAGAGAGTGATTGGCGGTTGCAAAGCTGCGGTTTTCGCATACGGGCAGGTGAGAGAGTATGTTTGATGGTTACAACGCTACAGCTACGGCGCAGTTGAACCGCTTCCCCAAACCACTCTGCGTCAGCTGGATTCCAACACACGGGCAGAACTCTGCACTTTCGGTCATCGCTACTGCTGGTGCCGCTGCTACTGCTGATGGCACTATCAAGCCCCCCAACCCCCCCTCTCCCCTCCCCTCCCCCTTTTCCATGATGCCTGACCACGCATGGCTTTCCAAGCATGACTGCTGCTAACATAACTCCCCCGTTTCCTATCTACCCCATCTCGCCATCCCCAACAAGCAGACGGGGTCTGGCAAGACGTACACCATGGGCACGGCTCTCCAGAGCACAGCTGCTCGAAGCACGAGGAATGCTTTGCAGTCAATGTCTTCTGCTACACTCTCATTTCTCCGCTACACTCTCATTCTACCCTTCCCTCCCTTGTGAGCGTGCAGACTGGGTCAGGCAAGACGTACACCATGGGCACGGCTCTCCAGAGCACAGCTGTTGCGGCTGAAGCAGACACCAGTGTGGTTACCAGCAGCAACAGTGGTGCTACCAGCCCAGGCAAGGATGGGAGTCCGAACAGCAGTGGGGCCAGCAGCAGCAGCAACAGTAGCAGTGAGAGGAGGGAGGGAAGGAGCAGCACAAGTGGCAGCACAGTGGGGGCTGTGAGTCCAGCATCGGTGGAGAAGGAAGGGGGGGTGGCGAGGCGCGTGGTCAACTCGCTCTTCCAGCGCGTGGAGGATCTCGCCCACTGCTCTCGCTTCCAGATCCGCGTCTCGCTCATTGAGGTGCGTGGGGTGCGTGGGGTCAGTGGGGTTTTGAGTCGACTCAAAGAGGGGCTGTGAGTCCAGCATCGGTGGAGAAGGAAGGGGGGGTGGCGAGGCGGGTGGTCAACTCGCTCTTCCAGCGCGTGGAGGATCTCGCCCACTGCTCTCGCTTCCAGATCCGTGTCTCGCTCATAGAGGTGCGTTGGGTAACATGGGGTGCGTGGGGTCGGTGGGGCCACAAGGACAGGACGACATCCACGACTTTCTCGAGATTAGAGTTCCTTGCTTCCAGACGCATGTCGAGCACGCCTCTTTCTTCTCATGTTTACCCCCTCAATTCCCTCCACTGCACTGCTGCCCCGTTCAGATCCACAAGGACGATATACACGACCTTTTAGAGTTCCTCGCCACTCCCTTCCCCACCTCCTCCCCCTCTTCCGCCTCCCCCGCCACTGTCGCTGCCCTCGCTGCTGCCGCTGCTGCGGCCCGAGCCTCCCCTTCAGGCCCGGCGCCCCTAGGCTCGGCGCCGCCGCCTCGGCAGACAGTGGCGATCCGGGAGTTACCGGGTGGGGTGTCTCTTACAGGAGTTACAGAGCAGGTGGTTACCACACGGGACGAGGCTATAGCATGCTTGGAGCATGGGCTGCTGTTCCGGGCAACAGGCAGTCACAACCTGAACCAGCGGTCCAGGTGGGTGTATGGGTGGACGGAATGGCTTGAGCAGATAGGATGGTGGATATTCGTTCCTTGGCATTCTGCTCGCCCTCTGCCACCTTTGTACTCATGCGCTCCCCTTTTTCCCAGTCGTATGCACGACATTTTTCTATTTTTTTACACAAAGGAGGCCCTCTTGAACCCAAACCTTCCCCTTTCCCCTGTGCTGCTTCCCTCTGTTTCCTCCTTTCCCACCGTGCCCTCCTTTTACCCGTGCTCCTTGTTCCCACCAGTCGTTCCCATGCCATCTTCACAATATTCGTGGATCAGTTCAGGCGAAGGGCAGTCCCATTGGTCCCCACCACTCGTCTTTCCACCAGCGTAACAACCGCCACCGGCACTTACCTAAGCACCAGCACCAGTGGCAGTTCCAGCAGCAGCGGGAGAGCTTCGCTTGAGAGCGGAGATGGGGCGGGGAAAACTGATGGGATGGCGCTGTTCGGGCAGGACGAAAATGTTTTGTTTGGAGTCGGGCGGATGGATGAGGAGCATCTGTGTGCGAAGATGCATCTGGTGGACCTGGCGGGCAGCGAACGAATCAAACGCACCAAGGCAGAGGGTGCTCGGCTGAAGGAAGGTGAGAGTGGAAGCAGAGACGATGTACAGTTGGTCAAAGAAGGCATTGCAATGTGGGAGAAGGTGGGTCGAAGCAGGTAGGTGCTGCACTGTGGGAGGAAAGGTGGGTGTGATTCAGCAGGAAGATGCATCTGCAGGCATTCACATCAACAAGGGTCTCCTGGCGTTGGGAAACGTGATCAGTGCGCTCAGCAGAGATGACTTTTTGAGTGGACTCACAATCACAAATTACGACCCTTCTCCCACCTACACTCCCTCCCTGTGCAGGTGTTCACATCAACAGGGGTCTCCTGGCTCTGGGGAATGTACTCAGTACGCTCAGCAGCGATAACTTCCGAATCAACTCACAAGCTACCAGACTCTCACTTGCACCCTCCCTCTGCAGGCATTCACATCAACAGGGGTCTCCTGGCTCTGGGGAATGTGATCAGTGCGCTCAGCAGCGATGAGAAGAGGAGGAAGGATGCAGCAGGGGGGCCAGGAGGCGGAGGAGGAGGGGCGGGGTTCGCTGCAGCGTTGATTCCCGTACATGTGCCGTATCGGGATAGCAAACTGACACGGCTGCTGCAGGTGCGTGTGTGTGTGTGTGTGTGTGTGTGTGTGTGTGTGTGTGTGTGTGTGTGTGTGTGTGTGTGTGTGTGTGTGTGTGTATGTGTGGCTGATGCTGTGTGGAACTTGTTGATTACATGCATCGGCGGGGTTTGCAGCGGCGTTGATTCCCGTGCATGTGCCGTATCGGGATAGCAAACTGACACGGCTGCTGCAGGTGAGTGTGCGAGTGCGTGTGTGTGACTAATGGTGTACATATGTTGTGGATTACATGCATCATCTCTTTGGAAGAGGAGGAGGAGGAGGAGGAGGAGGAGGAGGAGGAGGAGGAGGAGGAGGAGGAGGAGGAGGAGGAGGAGGGGGGGAAAGGGGAGGGGGGCTGGGTACATGTGCTTCTGCTGTATTGGTACGGCAAGCTGATGCACCTGCTGCTGCAGGTCTGGGGAGTGCAACCCGTGTCTGATCGAGCTTGCTTGTTTGCTTCACTAGTCGCCTGACCGTTTCCGCACATAACAACATACATTGGCGCGCCTTCTTTCTTCCAGTGAATCATTCTCATCAAAGTAAGATCAAGTCAACCCCAGACCCACACTCATCCTCATCCCATCCTCCTCTGCCCACAACTGCTTCATCATCCTCATTATTGTCTGATGCAGGATTCGCTTGGAGGCAACAGCCGCACTGTCATGATAGGTGAGTGCTCAATTGAGTGGGGACCCATAGGTTGAATCATTGGTCACTGTGCCAGAGGCGTCTTGTTTTCCTAGAACCTGGATTAGAATCTAGGGCGAGTTTCAACACCCTGCGATATGCCAACCGCACCTGGAACATGTGCAACCAACCCACCGTGATACCACCCAACCTAATCCCCCCTTGTAACCTTGCAGCCTGTGTGAGCCCCACGGATACGAACGTAGATGGCACCCTTCGCTACGCCAACCGCGCGCAAAACATCTGCAACTGACCCACCGTGAACCGGCTGGGCACGGTGGCCCGCTCGGGGAAGCTGACACCCTCCCCACCTCCCCGTTTCTCCTCTCCGCTTCCCTGCCTGTCTTCCGCAGCCTGTGTGAGCCCCACGGATTCCAATGTCGAAGAGTCTCTCAACACACTGAGATACGCCAACCGGGCGCGAAATATCTGCAATCGGCCTACGGTGAACCGCCTGGGGACGGTGGATGCAGAGGAGGTGCGGCGGCTGAGGCAGCACGTGTCCCTGCTTCAAGCAGAGCTGGCTAGAGTGCCGCCCCCTCTACCCATCACAGCAGAAGAGCTGCAGGTGGGTGACAAGTAGCAGCATGTGCCATTGGCCTGCTGTGAACCGGCTGGGCACGGTGGATGCAGAGGAGGTGCGGCGGCTGAGGCAGCACGTGTCCCTGCTGCAGGCAGAACTGGCTAGAGTGCCGCCCCCTCTTCCCATCACAGCAGAAGAGCTGCAGGTGGGTGTCTCGAGTTGAACAAGATGGGTCTCTTTTTGCTGCAGGCGGAACTGGCCACCCCCCCTGCCCATCACAGCAGAGGAACTGCAGGTGAGTTCTGAATCAGCCCAATAGTCAGGGAATGAAAATCAGGTGGGTGCTTTTGGGAAGGTAGCTGGGGTGCCGCCTTTTCCATCACCCCTCCCCTTCTGATCTCCGTCATTCCCGTCTTCATTCTGTCCCAGGCCCTCGAGAAGTGCGTATTCCATACATCCCTTGCTTCTTCTCGTCCTCCTCTGTTCTATCTTCACTTCTCCCAGGCGCTGAAGCAAAATTTGGCATCTCTCGAGGAGGCCAACACCCAGTTGAAGGCGTCACTAGAAAGCACCCAGTCAGAACTGCAGTCAACCCAGCAGACCCTAGACGCAACAAGGCTATCCTTGGAATCTGAGAGGCAGCGGGCCGATGACAGCGAGGCGGCGTGCGCTGCTCTGCGTGCTGACTGTGCGGCGCTGCATGCTGACCTGGACAGCGCCACGTCAGAGATCGAGCGGCTGTGCGCTGAGCTGGCGGCGGCGAAGGAGGAGTCAGCAAAAGCAAAGGAGCAGCTGGATGGGTTGAGAAAGTCGCATGAGAGAACCGGCCGTGGGTATGGGGCTGGTGGCGCTGCTGCTGGTGCTGGTGCTGGTAGCTTCGGCAGCAGTGGTGGTAGAAGGCAGTCGGGCGGAGGTGGGGGAACGGCAGCCTTTGGAGCAGCACGAACGGACGAGATCAAGCGAGTGAAGAGAGAGGCAGATAGGGCAGTGGCTGAGGCAACCAAGAGGGCGGAGAGGGAGAGTAAAAAGGCGGAAGAGGCTATTGCGCGAGCTAGGAAGACTTTGGAGAGAGCAGTAGAGGCAGAGAAGCGGGCACCTGAGGCAGAGAGACGGGCAGCAGAAGCAGAGAGGAGAGTAGCGGAAGCTGAGAAGAAAGCAGCGGGGGCAGAGAGACGGGCAGCAGAGGCGGAGGAGAAAAGGGAGAGAGAGATGCGACGGGCAGATGGTAGTGTTGAGCGCTTGGGTTTGGCAGAGGTTCGGGCTGCCGAGGCTGAGGCGGAGGTTCAGGCGCTTCGTTCGGAGCTGGCTTCGGTGGCTGCTGAGGCAATGGCGGCTGCTGTGGCCCGGCAAGCCTCGGAGCAGGAGCAGGTGAGGGTGGTTCGGATGCAGCTTGCCGAGGCTGAGCAGGAGGCTCGGACGACTATCGTTGAGATGGAAAAGAGGTTCGGGAAGGAGCGGGAAGAGTATGAGAGGCGGATTGAAGCTGAGAGGCAGCAGTGGGAGAGGGAGAAGAGGGCGTGGGAGGAGGAAGGGAGGGCGTTGGAGAGGCGGGTGGCTCATGAACGGTATACCTGGAATCATGACCTGGCAGCGGAAGTGGAAAAACGGGAGAGGAATTGGGCAGGGGAACGCCAGATGTGGGAGAGGAGTCTTAGAGAGGAAGGGGAGGTTTGGGAAGGAAGGCTGAAAGAGGTACGGGACGCATGGGAAGCAAAACTGAATGAGGAAGGGGAGGCATGGGAGAAAAATCTTGCAGCAGCTGAAGAGAAAGCAGAGAAAGCAGCAGGGGTTGCGGAGAGGATCAGGGCGGAAGTTGAAAGGGCGGAGGAGCAGGCAGTTGCAGGCATGCTGCAGGAAAAGAGGCTTGCAGAGGAGAGGGCTATTGCTGCTGAACGGGCCTTAGCAGGAGAGAAAGCGATGCTGGAAAGAAGGATGGCGGATTTGCGGGCTGAGGTGAGAAAGGCAGCAAAGGAGGAAGAGGCGGAGTGGCTGGGGTTGGTGACTTTTGAAGCTGAGAGGTTGAGTGAGGAGTATAATGCGTTGAAGGGCGAGTGTGGGGACTTGAGGAGGGAGTGTGAGGGGTTGAGGAAGAGGGAGAGGGAGGAGAGGGAGAGGAGGGAGAGGGAGGAGGCGAGGGCTGTGAAGGCCGAGGCTGCTGCTGCCGAAGCTGAGGTCCGGGTGGCTCGGGAGGTGGAGAGCGTCCAAGAGCAGGCTCGGGAAGAGGCTCGGAAAGAGGCAGAGAAAATGGAGAGTGAATTGGCAGAGGTTTGGGCGCAAGCAGAGGTGGAAGCAAAGAAGGCTGAAGATGCAAATGAGAGGGTGAAAGAAGCAGAGGAGCAGGTGATAATATTGAATGTTAAGATTGAAGGGTTGAGGGAAGAGTTGAGCGAGCTTGAAACTGTTCTGGAGGAGGAGGAACGGAAGGCAGAGGAAGCAGAGAAGATGCTGGTTCGGGCCCGAGCCAAGCTTGCCGAAGCGGAGGCTCGGGCCGAAGCTGCAGAGGAGCGAGTGGAGGAGCTAGATGGGGAGGTGGAGAGAGCGAGGGAGGCGGAAGAGGTGGTTCGGATGGAGTGTGAAGTGACGAAGGAGTGTGTGCGGGCAGCAGGGGAGAGAGTGGCGGAGTTGACAGAGAGAGTGAGGAGGAGTGAGAGAGCTGCAGAGGAGGCAGAGGAGAGGGCGAGAGGAGCGAAGGAGGAGCAGCAGAAGGCAGAGGGGAGAGCGAAGGAGGCGTTGGCAGCAGTAGAGGGGGCAGAAGAGAGAGCAAGAGTTGCTGTGAGGGAGAGGGATGAGGCGGAGAGGAGAGCAGAGGAGGCGAGAGGGAGGGCTGAAGAGGCTGAGAGGAAGGCTGCTGCTGCTGGGGCAGCGTTGGTAGAAGCTGAGGAACGGGTGAAAGATATGGGAAGGAGGGAGGAGGAGAGGGAAGAGGAGGAGGAGGTGGAGACGAGGGGGGAGCAGGAGGAGGAAGAGACGAAGAAGGGAGAGAGAAAAGAGGGAGAGACGAAGGGAACGAAGAAACTACAGGGGGTAGGAAAGGTGGAGGAGGTAGTGGTGGCTTTGGTGTGTGAGATGCTGGATGGTGCGATGGAGAGGGTGAATCAAGCACGAGAGAGAACCTTTGAGGTGTCTCAAGAGTCATTCGTGGGGGAGAGTCAGGCACAGGAGAAGGAGCGGCGGTCTGGGGGAGAGAGGCAGCAGAGGGGGGCTTGTTTGGGGTCGGGAGAGCTGGTGGCAAAACTGGCGGAGAATTCGCAGGATGAACTGCAAAACGAGCTTCAGAATGAACCGCAGAGTGAACGTCGGAGTGAAACGCAGGATGAACCGCCGCGAATTGAACTTCGGAATGGGGAGCCAATAGGGGGCGAGTGGCAGAGGAGGAGGCAGGAGGAGGTTGAGGCGATGGTGGTGGGCCTAGTGGGACAGGTTCTCGATAGCACCGTGATGATTCTGCAGGCTCAGGAGCAGGCTCGGGAACAGGCTCGGGAACAGGTTCGAGAACAGGTCTGGGAACAGGTCTGGGAACAGGCTTGGAATCAGGCTCGGTATCAATCGCAGGTGCAGCTTTTCCAGGCAGAGGAGAAGGCGACCGAGGCGACGGAGCAGGTTCGGGGACTGGAACAGCAGCTGATCAAGGCAGAGGAGCAGGTTCGGCAGACCGAGGGGGAGATTGTGGCGCTCAAGGCTGAGCTGGCGAGTAAGGTGGCTGAGCTGGATGCTAAGGTTGCTGAGCTGGCAAGGGCTGTGGAGGAGAAGGAGAGAGGGAGAGGTGAAGTGGAGGCAATGAGAATTGGACTAGAGGACTTGCGGGGGAGGCTGCGAGTGAGGGAGGAGGAGAAGGGGCATGCGGAGGAGCATCTTGAATGGCTTATGAAGGAGCTGGCTGAAGAGATGGAGGAGAGGGAGAAGGAGAGAAGGGAAGTGAACACGATAAGAGAGGAGATTGGGAAATTGAGAGGGAAGGTGCAGAGAGTGGAAGAGGAGAGGAGGCAGGCGGAGGGGCGTGTGGATAGGCTTATGAGAGAATTGGCTGAAGCAGTGGAGGAGAGGGAGAGGGGGAGAGGGGAGGTGAATGTGGTACGAGAGGAGGTGAAGGGGTTGAGAGGGATGTTGAGGGATGGGGAGGAGGAGAGGAGGCAATTGGAGGAGCATGTGGAATGGTTGATGAAAGAGTTGGCTGAGCTGGTGGTTGAAAAGGAGAGGGCTGAGAGGGAGAGGCGAGAAGAGGAGATGGAATGGGGTGAGAGGGAGGAAAATAAAGCAGAGGCAGAGACAGAGACGGAAACAGAGGCGGACACTGGGTCAGGAGAAGAGGATGGGATCTCAGCACAATCAGAAGTGGAAAGAGAAGAAGACCGCATAGCAGAAGCAGAAAACGGGGGAGAGGCAGGCCCAGAAAAAGGGGCAGGGGCAGGAGAAGGGATAGGTGAAGAAGCAGCATCGGAGGCGAGTGTAAAGTGGTGTGTGGAATTGGGTGAGGAGGCATGTGAGGAGAGGGGTGAGGAGGCGGGTGAGGAGGTGCGTGAGGAGGCATGTGAGAAGCTGATCTCTACCTTGCAATCTCAAGGCGCCGTTGCAACTCCTCTGAAGAACCAAGGAGAAGAATCTCCTTTCGTCACTCCCACCGCCTCCCCCACTGCCTCTCCCTCTCCCTCTCCCTCCACTCGCCCTCTCTCTCTGCACCTGACCACTTCGCCTGCTTGCCCAGCGATAAACGCTGGTGCTGTCATTCCCGCCTGCCCCCTGCCTGAAACAGCCAGTGGCGATAATAGCACCGCCACTGCTTCCCCCCTGCCTGCAACATCGTGCATGGACCAGCCATGGAATCCGTTTTTCACTGGCCTACCTGACGCCCCAACTGATGCCTCGCTAGATGCCCCACTTGCTGCTGCTGTCGACGTGGTTACAGCAGCACCAGCAGCAAGCCTAGCGTTCTCTCACTACAATCCCTTCCTGGATAGTATCGAGGAGCCCTTACAGCAGGGATACAGTGACAGTACTGAAGATCCCTTACCGAAACAAGGGCCCGTTCGGCCAGAGGAGTTGACCTTTGAGTGGCCTGAAAAGCCGTTTCTGCTGAGTTTGGAAGAACCCGTGTCTTCATTCATTCCTGTATGGGAACCGAATGGCGAGGCAGAGGACTCGGCTGAGGAAGCCTTACAGGGAAGCGAGGGCAGTTCTGAGATGCCCGAGCAGTGTCTGACTGCTGGCCGTGGCAGCAGCAGGCTTGCTCGTTCCAACAGCAACCCGTTCCTGTGCTCTTGGGCGGAGCTTGACGAGGGGGAGGGGGAGACCTGTGGAGAGGAGGGGATTAGTGTGGAGGAGGAGGGAGGAAGTGGCGAAAAGGGGTGCACTCTTAGCAGCAGTAGTTACGCTGACACCACTGTTGGGAGCAAGGCTGGTAGCTCAAAAGCAGGAGCGGCTGTGAGCACCGTTGCAAGCACCACTGCTGGCATCCCCACCAGCAACACCACAACTCCTAGCACAACAACTCCTGGCTCCACAAGTGCTTGCAGCAAGAATGGAGGCTTCATGCGTCTCCCAAGCTCCCCACGCCTCTCCTCCTCTCGGGCCCCCCCTGCCCTCGCTGCTCGCTCCATTCTCTCCCACACCAAGCCCCTCCCTCTCTCGCACTCGCCTGCTGCTGCTGACCCTCTGATTGCGGCAGCAGTGGCAGCCGCTGCTGCTTCTGCTGCTGGTTCCGGTGCCGGTGCTCGTGCTGCTACCGCTGCTGCTGGAGCAATAAGCACAGATGCAGATTTCGATGGAAAGGGAGAGATGACGGCAGCAGCAGTACAGAGAGGAGCGCAGATTGCAGCACATACATCAGAAGCACATGCAGCAGAGGTGGTGCCTCCCGCTTTGATGGCTTCAGCCGCTAAGATTGCTGGCCTTGGAGGTGGTGCATTCGTGTCGGCAGGAGGAATGGGAGGAGCGGGAGGGGCAGGTGACGGGATAAAATCCCTTGGGCCTTTCCCTGCTGTAAGTGTCAGTATGGGCCTGAACACTGAATGGGGAGTACAGGGCCGTGTGGGAGATAAGAGAGATGCTTATGTAAGTGAGGAGATAGAGGAGGTCGTGGAGCTTGTCGAAGGAGAGGAGACTGAGAAGGATGTGGAAGAGGAGTTAGAAGAGGTAGAGGTAGTGGTGGTAGGGGGGGAAGAGGAGGAAGAGGAGGTAGAGGAGGTAGAGGAGGAGCATGAGGAAGAGGAGGAGGAAGAGGAAGAAGAGGCGGAGGAAGAGGAGGAGGAAGAGGAGGAAGAGGAGGAGGAAGAGGAGGAGGAGGGAGAGGAGGAAGAGGAGGAAGAAAGGGAATCAAGGGGTGAGGCCACAGAAAAAGGTACCGACTTTGAAAATAAATGCGATATGAACACCAGCAGTACCAACAACAGCAGTAGCAGCAGCCGGGGGAGAATGGCCCCTGGGGCAGTGGCATCGGAAGCAGCAATGCTGTCCCGCCTGAGAGGGTCTGTGAAGATGGGGCAGAGCTTCAGACGCCGCCACATCTTGCCATCCAAACCCAAAGCAGCACCGTCAGAGGGAGAAGCAACTGTTTCAGAAGGGGAAGGGTGGGCAGGAGAATGGGGTACAGGGGGGGTGGTTTCAGGGAGCAGCAGTGGGGAGCGCAGTGGTGAAAGTGGAGGGGGCCTGGAGGCAGCAAACCAGGGGACAGGTCGCTTGGATGAGGGCAATGGTGGTGTGAGTGCTTGGGGGCAAGGCAGCAGTGGTGAGGAGGGGGGTAACGGTCACACAATGTTTGAGCCGTTTAGTGACCTGCATGCTCCAGCGGCCTTCCCAGACCACCTGGATCTCAACACAGGGATGGATGATGCTGGCACTGACGATTCCCACAGCAGGCGTCGCAGCATTGTCAGCAGCATTCTCATGCGGAAGAGTGGTGGTGGTGGTGGTGGAGGAGGGCATGGCACGCACCATGACTTTCGGAAGAGCGGGGAGCTGTACAGTGCGCAGCATGCTATAAGCAGTTTCAGTGGAGGGAAGAGTGGCGAGCTCTACCAGAGAAGCAGCAGTCACAGTAGTCACAGCGGCCACGGTAGCAGCAGCAGCAATGGTGGAGCTGGTGGTGTAGAAAAGAAGGGCTCTTCCTCGCCTTTTATGGGAGGCCGCTTGGTTCGTAGCAACAGCTTTGGGAGCTTTCCCTTAGGTGGTGGGAGCAGTGGCAGCAAGAATGGCAATGGCATGAGCACCAAGGGTAATGCCACAGAGGACAGTGAGATGGGGAGTGTGAGTAACAATGGTGCCAAGAAGACCCTTGGATCGCCCTTTTTAGGAGCGTCTCTCAGTTTCAAGACGGGCAGCAGCCAAAAGAGCGGCGGCGGCAGCAGCAGCAATGGTGGCAAGGGCAGCAGCAGTAGAGGGTTGGGATCGCCTAGAATATGGAGCTCTCCTGTGTTGGGACCCCGAAGGCACGATGCCAGGGGTGCTTCTGGAGGCTTGGAGTCAGGGGTCATGGCTGGTGCAGAAGAGTTTAGTGCATGGATTGACACAAAGAATGATGCTGAAGAAGGTGCATGCGAGTTAGGAGAAGCAGGACGAACAGGGAGAAAGAAGGGCTTCAGCCTGAAGAGTGTTCTTTCGTCGAAGACGTCCATGAGTTACACGAGCTGACATGAACGCTACTCTTTTGGATCATACCAGTTTGCATTACGATATAATCCTGGTAATGGTGGATTAGCTTAATTCAGAGTTGGAATGGGCTAATGGAGTGTATCTAGCATAGACGGAATGAGGCTTATATGAATCAGTGACTTCATAGTGACTAGTTTTAACAGCATATAAACAGTCTGTAATTGCCTAATTGACGTTGATTTATCATAGGGTATGTTTGCATAACTTTGGAGTACCAGACTAACAAATTGACGTAAATAGAATTACAGTGTAAGAAAATTTCCTTTTCCTTACTTCGCGCCCCTGCTTACCGCGTACAAGACCATTCCCGCCATCGGCACCCAACAGTGAAACGTTACCTGCTCGCGACACTCGCCTCGACGACGACTCTCCGCCACTGTTCACGATGCGACATTTCCCAACCTCACAATTCGGTTGGTAACCCGCGCTCCGGACCTCCGCCTCGACATTTCCCAACCTCGGCGCTAGGCTCGTAGCACACCCCAATTTCTCGCGTTACCGTTACCACTCTAGTTCGCTATATATTCTTCGCTCATGCCTTCGCTCATTGTACCTTTTGCTTCGATAGTGCAATTCTCGCTCGCTCGCTCAATTGCACTCGTAACACTTGGTATTAAGAGCCTACGATCTCCTCTCGGACTGCACCCACACCTTCGCTTCCCCACTATCTCAATTTTTGGAGGGGGTAGACGTCTCTCAGCGAACAAGCACCGCGGTTCGAAGTGCTCTCTCGTAAGCACGCACGGCCACGACAGAGGCTCTCGCTGAGCTTGCCCGACACCCCCGCCATGGCCGAATTTAATCTCGCGACACTGACGCAGGAACAGCTCGACCGTCTCGTGCGCCAACTCGAAGATTCGACGCTCACGGCGGAACGCGACTCCGCCCGCCAGCAATCGACGGTGAATGCACAAGCACCAACACACGCACCTGCAAATGCACCTGCACAATCGGAGGAGCCGATCGTCATCTCATCAGGCACACCGACACAACACCACAGCGTGGGACAGCGCTCAGGCGCAGCCAGTGATGGCGTCGCTCACTCAATGCCTGGCATGGAGAGGAACATGGCCGCACCAAGCACACAAGGGCCTCGCGAAGCCCGTCGGCACGTGGAGTTCGCCGCAACAAGTGGCAACAACGACATCATGGCGCCGATGCCACTCAAGCCGCAGCGCCCGCCCCGTTTCGATCCTAGCCAACGTGGAGGTCCGACAGTTTAACACGATGAACGTTTTTTTCGACGCGAATTACGTCGAGTCGGACGCAGCTAAGATTCGCTACGCTGTTTTGCTGCTGAGGGGCCCCGCCATGGACTTGTGGCGAGTCATCGTGACGTCGCCACGCGCCTACGAGCCGCCGTCGCAAGAGGGAGAGCCCACGGGTCCAGCCGTCACCTGGAGTTCTTTCTGCGAAACCGCCCAGTACAGCACGTGGGATGCGTGGTGCGCAGGGCTTCGGGCGCGCTTCGGACTGCGTACTTGGTGACAACCCGGGTCGGTCCAAGACTATACGAGCGGTTTTCTCGCATTATGCGAGCAAGTCGGCTACATGCACGAAGCGGGGCGGGTGGACCGTTACGTCGGAGGGCTGAAGCCGGACATCTCGCATGAAATCATGCTACGCGGGCTCTCGAACTTCAACGAGATCCTCGCGCTCGCCGAGAAGATCGATATTCTACGCCGCCCGAGAACGGGGTTCTACTACGGACAACGTCCTCGGGGACCGGCCGAGCACGCCACTGTACACGCCGTTGCGGCAAATGCAGCTGCCGCACCATTTAAGGGGCGATGCTTTGCTTGCAATAGGCCGGGCCATCGCAAGAGCGAATGCCCAGAGGAGCTGAGGCGCCGCGGAGCAGAGCAGGGGAGGGAGTCTCAGAGGCAGGGAAACGCCAGCAGTCAGTAGAAATCGGGCCAACTACTGATGAGACAACCTTCTCGCCCAACCTCACCGACCCTCACCGAGTCACAGTACCGATTCACGCTATCGATCGGGCTCGGATGAATAAGGAGGGTACAGCGACGGATCGCCCAGTACTGATTCACGGGAAAATACAAGGAGCAGCAGTGAAGATTTTTTTAGACGGAGGAGCAAGTCACAGCTTAGTTAATACCGCAACCGCACGGAAGCTGCAACTGACACTTGGTCGGTGTTTACCGGAGATAGATGCGCGCTTAGTCGACGGCACACCGCTGGCCATACGGGAGAAGGTGGAGAGAGTAAAAGTCCGCTGCGGGGGGAACTTCGGGTTTACACAAGAAATGCTCGCGACGACACTGGATGTGCACGACATTTTACTGGGACGTACTGGCTGCGACGGTATAACCCGCGAATCGACTGGACGACGGGTAGCTGCACTGTGCGAAGTAGCGGTAACTGGGTCGAGCTACCTCGCTGGCAGTCACCCGAGTCTTCAACAGTCCACGTCAACGCCATCACGATGAAACTGGTTGTCGCCGCTGGAGCTGACGTGTACGCGGTGGATATAGCATTGGTAGGAGAAGCAGAGAAGCAGAGCAGCCGAGTGATTTTCAGAAACTGCTGGCAGCGGTACCGCCCGAACTACAGGAACTGTTGAAACGGTACCCGGGGATTTTTCCAGACGATTTACCAGAGGGACTGCCACCTCAGCGAGCACACGATCACCGAATAGAGTTAGAACCGGGGGCACAGCCAACTGTACAGCGACAGTTTCGACCGACACAGCCCGAGCTTGATGAACTGAGGAAGCAGTTAGATTACCTATTAGAGAAGAAGTTCATCCGACCGAGCTCGCCCCCGTTCGCTGCACCGATACTGTTCACACCGAAAAAAGACGGAGGTTTTTGCATGTGTCAGAATGTGTTTGCTGTCTAGTCTGCAGTGGGGTACTCTGTAGTGAGTACAACCCAATTAGGATTTCCTATTTGTATCCCAACTGTTGCTAGTGCAATCCTCTCCTCTCTTTCATTCCTCGTTCTATTCTTCACATGCTATCAGAGCGACTACGCTCCTGGCCTGTGGGCCCACTTGCTTCCGCTGCTGTCCTGTCTGTCGCGCGCCCCGTGGCGCGCGACGTTTTTTTTCTTCCCGCCACGCGCTCGGAGCGCATGGCGGTTTTCTGCCCGCCGCGCGCTCGGGGCGCGCGGCGGTTTTCTGCCCGCCGTGCGCCCCGAGGCGCGCGGCGGTTTACTGCCTCAAGCGGCGCCCCGGGGGCCCGCGCGCTGCCCTGCCCGTCGCCCGTCGAGGCGCCCTGGGGGCCCGCGCGTCCCCCCCCCCCTCTCCCGTCGCCCGTCGCGGCGCCCTGGGGGGCCGCGCGTCGCCCTGCTCGTCGCCCGTCGCGGAGCCCTGGGGGCCCGCGCGTCGCCCCCCCTCTCATCGCCCGTCGCGGCTCCCTGGGGGCCCGCGCGCCGCCTTGCCCGTCGCCCGTCGCGGCGCCCTGCGGGGCCGCGCGTCGCCCTGCCCGTCGCCCGTCGCGGCGCCTTGGGGGCCAGCGCGTCACCCCTCCCGTCGCCCGTCGCGGCGCCCTGGGGGCCCGCGCGTCGCCCCCTCCCGTCGCTCGTCGAGGCGCCCTGGAGGCCCGCGCGCCGCCCCGCTTCCGCTCACACGCCGCCCCAGCGGCTGCCCGCGTTTCTGCCCTGCGTTGGGGGTATGGGGGTGGCGGGTAGGGGGTTGGCGGGTGTGTGAGCCGTCCCCTGCTCCTCCTCCTCCTCCTCCTCCGTCTCCCACTGCTGCAGCTGCCGCTGAGGGGGGTGGGTGTGTGGGAGCCGAGGGAGTGGCGTTAGGGGGGTGACGTGGGAGTGGAGCTAGGGGTGCAGCAAGGGGTGTGTGAAAGGGGGGTGGGACAATTGGGGGAGGTTGAGCGGAGGTAGCTGTCGTGTCGCCAGCAGCGCTAGTAGTCCGGAGGCTACAATCTCCGGTAGTCGCCAGTTGCCCGTGGGTCAGTTGCTCCAGCCGCTCGGTGTAGCCGCGGAGCCAGTTACTCCTGAAGTCCGGGCCATTGCTTCGGTAGCCACTGAGCCAGCCGCTCCAGTGTGTCTGCAGCTTCCGCCGTCGCTTCTCATCTCCTCTCCTCTCACAGTCCCTCCTCCTCCTCACTTGCCCTCTGTGACTGCCTCTAGCTTTGCTTGTACTTGTGAACCTGCTCTATGACTGCTTGCTGTGCTGATTATACCCCACTTTGACTATGGGGGTGTGTCAGAATGTGTTGGCTGTCTAGTCTGCAGTGGGGTACTCTGTAGTGAGTACAACCCAATTAGGGTTTCCTATTTGTATCCCAACTGTTGCTAGTGCAATCCTCTCCTCTGTTCTCATTCCTCGTTTTCTATCTTTCACAGCATGTGCATCGACTGCAGAGCACTGAACAGGGTAACAGTCAAGTCGCGATACCCCATTCCCCGCGCCGACGAACTGATAGATCAGCTGCGAACAGCACGGGTCTTTTCGAAAATAGATTTACGGGGCGGTTACCACCAGATTCGGGTCGAACCATCGGACTGCGCCAAGACGGCTTTTCGAACTAGATACGAGTCTTTCGAGTACACAGCGATGCCATTCGGGCTGACCAACGCACCAGCGACTTTTTAGATGACCATGTACGAGGCGTTTAGGCCACCTTTAGATAAATGTGTGATAGTTTACCTCGACGACATCCTGGTCTACAGTCGCGATACGCAGGAGCACTTAGCAGACATGGAAGCAGTGTTTAAGGTTTTAGACGAGCACCGCCTACTGACCAAGGGTTCCAAGTGCGAGTTTTTTCAGGACAGGCTATAATTTTTGGGCCACGTAATTTCGGAGGCTGGAGTTGAGATCGACCCAAAGAAGCTGGACACAGTGAAACCGTGGCACCCCCCGACAAATATCACGGAGCTGCAAAGTTTTTTAGGGTTCGTTAATTATGTACGTCGGCTCGTCCCCGACATAGCGCGGTTAACAGCCCCACTGACGGATCTACTGCGGAAGGGGGTCGCTTTTACGTGGGGGGAGAAAGAGCA